CTCTTTATTGAGGGCACAGTGGCCTGTCTTCACTGGGAAGCTGACTATCTCAGGGGAGCAGCTCTGACCCAGCTCCCCTACCTTCACCAGGGATTTTACAAATGTACAAGTGTCATAGGACCATTCTGTTTTCCATCTTTACGAAAAGAAAGGCAGTGCGAAGGAATCTTGGCAAATTGGGGATTTGTGAAGGAGAAAACGCTATTCATGTGGTGATTGTAAATGGAGAAACAAAAGGAACAGTTTTAGAAAAATGACTTAGCGGAATTGTCTCAGTCGTTTGATAGGAGAAAGAGGGTTTTCAGAAACAAGGGCTGGAGCGATAGTACAGCGGGTAGGGTGTTTGCGCTGTGCTGAGCTGATCCAGGTTCGATCCCAGATGGTCCCCTAGCACTGCCAGGAGTAATTCCTGAATGCGAAGCCAGGAATAACACCCAAGCACTGCCGGGTGTCACCCAAACAAACAAACAACAACAAAAAACCAGAAACATTGTCATGAAGTCAGTGCCATTTGAACTTTTTCTTCGCCTAATATCCTCTTGAACTTTTCATAAAGTTGATCAAGGCAACTATCATCTCTCTCTTCTCTCTCTTTTTTAGTTTTTGCAGTAGGGAAAGTCTCATGATATGAAGGGCAAATAATTGCTGGGTGTCAGAGTCAGAAATAGAATTGCAAGCTCTGAGCCAGGACTCAGGGCCTAATCAGGCTCTTGCGTGTCCTGATAGGTGCATGTGTTGCTCTCAGAGCACCGGAAAGTCCACTAAGTGCCACAGAAAAAACAGTGTGTGGGTTTTGCAGCTACTGCTGCTGCCGTTTAGTCTCCTCCAGAATTCTCAGGCGTTTCACAGAATCAGCAGACAATGGGGATCACAGAGGCACCCTCTCTGTAGGCCATGGTAATTAAAACTGTAAGCAGTGAAAAGTAAGCATTTTCGTAAAGCATAAGCTTCCTTTTCTTGCAAGCTATTATCACAGAGCTGCTGGGGTCCATTTCCCCCATTTCAGATGGTTACTCACCACTTTTATTGGCTCTCAAGAATATTCATTAAAGACAGAGAAGCTTCATTAGACTTAACGAAACAAATGAAACTTCAAGATTAAATTCATTCTCTAGAATTGAACAACTAAGTAACTACCTATGGTAGATTTCCCTCATGGTATTAGACCTTTCACAGTCTTCTGTAGTGGGGTTCAGGGAGCTTGCATTGGTTTATAGGAGCCACTTTGGATTTATATCAGAAATGTTTCTAACACTCTCATTATGAAAGGATTTAAGTTACATAAATTACAAGGCAAGGCAGTTTGCTCCACAGTATTTCACCATTTTCAGCGTATTTTAAATCAAAACTATATTTTATGTCACTGTTTTCTTTCTGTCAGTTCCATTTAAAAATAAGAATATGCTATTCGTGTCCAGTTTCCAAATGGTTGAATATATTGTTAACCTCAGTATTGTCAAAAATGTTTATTAAATGATTTTATATGCTGAAAATGGGGGCTTGGATGATTTTTGCTCTAAGAACTTAGTTTCAGACACTCTGGGATAACCCACATCCCATCTTGGGACATGTAAATTCCTTTCTTTGACTTCATGAGATTCTTTCATCTCTAGAAAAGTGCCTGGACTATTATGCAGCTAGGAAAAGGAATGCTCTGTATAGTCACATGCTGCATAATGCTGATTCTTGATTGGCCACAAATACAACATGTATTCCTTATAGTGGTGGTCCCTATAAAAGGCCAAGTTGTATAGTTGGAAACCATTAGGTTTGTGTAAGTAGCCTCTATGATATTCACAAGACACTGATTTCCAGGTTACAGTTTTTAAGTGGGTGAAAAAATTTAGGTGTAGAAAAGAGTTTATATCACGATTTATGTTAAAGGGACCCCAAAAGAGGGTCAGAGAGAAAGTACAATGGAAACGTGGCTTACCTTGCATGTGACTGACCCAGGTTCGATTGCCAGCACTGCATGTGGACTCCAGAGCACTGCCAGGAGTGATCCCTGAGCACAGAGCTAGAAGAAATCCCTGAGCACTGCCATGCATGGCCCCAAAAGAAACAAACAAAAAAGGAATAGAAAACAGATGTGTGTCTATATGTGCACAAAATATTACTGAAGAGATAAAGAGGGAGAGGAATGTACTCATTGCCTTGGGGATGGGAACTGAGTGACTGGGATCAAGAATAAGAGATGGAACCAGAAGGGTAGTAGAGAAGTTAAGGTGTATCTATCCTTTGTACGCGGCTGACTCTCTTTTGATCTCCAACACTTCATGATCCCCTGAACACTCTCAGGTGTGGCCCCTGTTCATCACTTCCTGTACAACCCATCAATAGGTCCTGTTGGCCAAGGATATCTTGGAGAATCTGGTGGCTCCCTCCCTGCAGAAGAATGAGAATGGGAGGTTTTCCCTTTAGTCCCTTTTGTTCCACTTGTTTTGTGCAGTGCTGGGGACTGAATCGAGAACTTGACATGCAAGGCGGATGCTTCTCTGCCCGGTCACGTTTGTAACCCATGCACTTGAATTTTGAGTCGAGGAAATGTATTATCCATTCAAAAACAAAACTCATTAATATTTAAATAACAAATTCATTAATATTATATTTTTTAAAAGTGAAATGTGATCCACTAGAATAGCCCTGTCCCACAGAACTTTCTCTGATGGCTGGTTCCATATTTATATCACCTATTTTTTTTGAACACTTTGAAAATGTCTTTCACAACTAGGAAACTGAAATTTCATTTCCTTTCATTTTAATTGGTTTACATTTAGATACCCACACTGGAAGCAAATGTAGACTCTTGCTTAGAATATCCTTTTCTGTTTATATCTGATGAAAATTTAGGGAAAAGTGGGAGCAGAGAGATGTACAGGTGAGTAGTGTGCTTGCCTTGCATGTGGCACACCCAGGTTTGATCTCCAGCATCCCATATGGTCCCCCAAGGACCATCGGGGTGATCTCTGAGCATAGCTGGGTGTGACTCTAAACCAAAGAATAGCACTGCACTGTCCTCCCGTTGTTCATCAATTTGCTCAAGCGGCCACCAGTAACATCTCCATTGTGAGACTTGTTGTTGCTGTTTTTGGCACATCGAATACACCACGGGGAGTTTGCCAGGCTCTGCAGTGTGGGCGGAATACTCTTGGTAACTTGCAGGACTCTTCAAGAGGGAACGGAAGAATCGAACCTGGTTCGGCTGCGTGCAAGGCAAATGCCCTACCCGTGGTGCTATCACTTAAATAAATAAAATTTAGGGAAGGGAACTCGGATCAGCCATGTCAGCCACATGCAAGGCAAACACCCTTGGCCGAACTGAGTTCGATTCCTCCGCTCCTCTCGGAGAGCCCGGCAAGCTACCAAGAGTATCTCGACCACACGACAAAGCCTGGCAAGCTACCCATGAGGTATTCGATATGCCAAACACAGTAACAAGTCTCACAACGTTACTGGGCCTGCTTGAGCAAATCGATGAACGATGGGGATACAGTGACAGTGACAGGGAAGAGAATGAAATAGAGAGCAAGCAAGCGAATAGGAGTGCTATTAGTTTGAGTTTTGTTTATGATTGTATAATCTCTATATGCCCGTAATTCTTCTGGTATTAGTTCTTGAAGTAGGGGACTTAGACTTAAAAATCCTTTTTTTTTTTTTTTTTTGGTGTGCATGGGTCACTCCCTGAGATGCTCAGGAGTTGCTCCTGGAACTATACGGGTTATCAGGGATCAAACCCAGGTTGGCTGCATGCAAGGCAAAATGTACTGATGTACGATTGCTCCAGTCCCTCAAAAATCCTCCTTACTCAGCAAAGTCATCTGAATGGAAATGAAGTCTCTCTGTGTTCTGACTTGGAAGCAGTCTATTTTTGAGAGGGTCATTTTCTCATCTGTAACACAAACCTATTTGTGTGTTTCCCCTTGGGTTAATATGCCAGGCACTTTGTTCTTAAGCTCAGCAGCTGTTGTGAGACAATGGGCCAGTTTGCATTCTTAGCCAGCAGCTGCTAGACACATTCTGATCTGGCCTTGGCAGGAAAGAGAGCACAAGTTAAAAGAACCTTGAAAAATAAGAATAACTTTAGATGCCATTTTTCTTTATAGTTCATCTTTCTGTTGAAGATCACTCTAGTTTACATGATTAGAATGTGAGAATGATGTATTTCCAGGGAAGAATTGTATGAATGTTTTTGAAATCTGGGCTTTAACACAGGGACTTAAAGATGCTAATAGGAAGTCTTTATTACTGCTAGCAATATTTTTGTTTGTTTGTTTTTCTTTGATGGAGGGGTCACACCCAGTGGTACTCAGGGGTTACTCCTGGCTCTGCATTCAGGCATCACTCCTGGCAGTTCAGGGGACCATATGGGCTGCCGGGGATCCAGCCCTGGTTGGACACATGCAAGGCAAATGTGCCCGCTGTACTATTGCTCCAGCCCCAATACTGTTTTTTTTTAATGATTGACTATACTGCAAATTTATTTAATTGATTTAGTTACTAGCTTGAAACTGTTATTCATTCCAGAAAACTAGTTGTAGATAATTAGTGGTTATGGGTCCCTCCTTTCTTCTCTCTACTTCACAACACCGCCCACCCTCAGCTCCAATAGGACATTTTGAATATTCTCATCCATTCTGTAAGCAAGCTTGGTTTGATCGTAGGCAGGGAATAATCACACCCTCTTTTAGTCTACCTTTCCTACAAAGTCAGAGGTTCTCAAAGGCAAACACCTGTTGAAAAGTGAATGCCTGTTGTCTTTTGTCAACAGAAGGTGCAAATTCCTTAGGCTGGTAGATCAGAGACAAGACCTTTGTTTCTAAAGAGGAAATTCGACTACAGTATTACCTTTGGGACTCAAAAAAAAAGTCTTTTCATTTTGTCTGGAAGATCCAAAAGGTTCCAGCCAAGCCTCCTTGGTCTCCCCAGAATTTGTCAGAGACACTGTAATCCCGGTGAGGGAGCCTTAGCTGCTACTGATCCACATTTGATTCTTGTTACAGACCTTCACTGCCTGGTGCAACTCCCATCTCAGGAAAGCTGGCACCCAGATTGAGAACATTGAGGAGGACTTCAGGAATGGCCTCAAGCTCATGCTGCTTTTGGAAGTCATCTCAGGTTGGTCTTCCACAGTTTCCTCAATGTTGTACTCTAGTGCCATGCGATACCTTATTGGTTACTCTCTGTGTGTGAAGAGATATACTTCTATTCGAAGCTGATGCACTGGAAGTTCCCTTTGAAGCTGGCTAGTCAGGAACAAAGAAAACCTTTTCAAAGAACAATCTGCCTGGGGTTATTTTCCTGTTCCAAGTTCTGTGAATTCTGCTTAAATCTGACTCACTAAAATAATGTGAATACACCCACCTCAAAACAAAATAAGAGTCAAAAATGGCACTGCTCTTTTCACTCTTGGTCCAGTGAATGTATATTCTAGAATTTGTCTATGAAAAAAAGCCAGTGAAAAAGATGTTATAATTTTGAGAATAAGAATTCAAATCCCAAGGCCGGAGCGATAATACAGTAAGTAGGGCGTTTGCCTTGCACACAGCCAGCTTGGGTTCAATCCCCAGCACTCCATAGGGTCCCCCAACCTCCTAAGAAATCATCCTTGAGTGCAAAGCCAGGGGTAAGCCCTGAGTGTAACTGAGTGTGGCAAAAAACACAACATAAAAAGGGTTAAACTCCCATAGGTTTTATGGTTTGCCCTGAATTTCAGTAAGATGGTTTAGGCTTGGAACTAGATCTCCCTTGAAGAAGCAGGAACAAGGAAGGATGATGGCAAGTCTGTCCTCATCCCTAGAGCCATGTGATCAGGTGTTTAAGAGAAATGTCAAGTTGCTTCTCTTTTTTACTCATTTGTAAGTTGACTCGTAGCTTTCACTGGACTCTCCCAAGAGATCTGGAAGCATATGTTCTTCTCGTTTGGCTTCCCACTGGTTCATCTGATTTTGAAAGGATTAGGTTAGTGTTCTCTGCTGTGACTTACAGAAATCAAGGACGCATCAGAAGTAGATAACTATTTCTGTTTCAGAAAGTGAAAACTATAAAAACTACATAGTATGAGACTAATACCCAAGGATAATAGAAATATGGGCCAAGAGGATTGGTCCACTGTAGGAAGCCTGCTTCAAGTGCTGGGGGAGGGGGCAGCTGGGATAGAGAAGGAACCACTATGACAAATGATAGTTGGAAATTATTACTTTGATAAGAACTGTGTACTAAAAGTAGGCAAAGGAACAAACATACCTCTCAGTATCTGTATTGCAAATCATAATGCCCAAAAGAAGAGAGAGAGAAAGAAGAAAAGTTCTGACCATAGAAAAGTATCTATCATAGAGGCAGTCTGGGGGTAGGGAGTGGGGGGAGAAAAATTGGGGACATTGGTGGTGGGAAATGTATAATGGTGGAAGGATGGGTGTTGGAACATTATATGACTGAAAACCTTTGAACTCTATCTCACGGTGACTCAATAAAATATAAAGAAAGTACAAGCTCTGAACTTGGGCATCTTGACCTTGTTGTCAGTGAGTCACTTCCTCTATGTCTTCATTATTCTTTTTCCTCGAACAGGAGAACGACTGCCCAAACCTGACCGAGGGAAAATGCGATTTCATAAAATCGCTAATGTCAACAAAGCCTTGGATTACATAGCCAGCAAAGGTGTGAAACTGGTGTCCATCGGTGCTGAAGGTAAGTGAAGTGTGATAGGAGTAGTCCTGACCCAAACTGATCTCCCAGTGGGGGTATGGTAACAGCAGTGCACACACTCTTCCCGCCATCTCTTTTCCGTTCCATTCACTGTCCTAAGCTTTGCATCTCCGGGCGTACAGGGAGGAGAGCGAGTGGTACTGAGGACCAGGTTCAGGATTCTTTGTCTAATTCATGCCGTTTTCTGAAAAGCTATGATAGGAAATAGAAGGAACTTATATTTCCAGGGATTCCTGATAAGAATTAATGAGTAGGAAGGAAGTGGCTCTTTCTCTGTGCAAGATTGGGAGTCCTATTGAGGTGTAGATGGCTCTGGTGTACAGCTCAGTCCCGTGAATCTGTCAACCAGAAGCGCTGGAATAAAGGTCAGGCTGAAGAGGAACCCGTGTTTTTTGTATTTGGTTATTAAGAGCCTGCATTTTTTGAATCTTGAAACATTGGAAACTCCTGGTCTGATTCAGTGGTTATGTATATGCAGGATTTGTGTTTCCTATTAACTCAGAATTCATTTAAGCCAGAGACATTTGGTTATTAATGTCTTATTTATAACGAGACATACTGCAACACTTAAAGATAAGCTGATCTTGCCATAAGAGTATACGTACAATAGCTCTTTAGTCAGAACTCACAGAAGACTTATAACTAGGAGAAAAGTGATTACCGATCATATTATCTTTACATTAACTTGTTCTGTTTTTTCTTCCCCAAAGAAATTGTTGATGGCAACGTGAAAATGACACTGGGTATGATCTGGACCATCATCCTTCGCTTCGCTATTCAGGATATTTCAGTTGAAGGTAAAAGACATCATTAGAAATCTGCTTTGTATGATGATATAGGAATTTGTAAATTAATATCTGAAAAGTGTTATTTAAAATTGAACTGATTTTGTAAAATACTTCCATGATTGTATGAAAGATTTAGTTGTGATCTGGATTTTCACAACTTTTATATTTATATGAGAAAAGACCCCAGCATTGCTGGTTTATTCATGTGGGTAGAATTCATGATCACGACCATCCTGTTGTTCGTCGATTGCCTCAAGCAGGCCCCAGTAACATCTCCTTGGTCATAGCCCTGAGATTTTTTTAAAAAGTGCCATATTCAAGGCTCTTTCAGTATTAGGAGAGTGAGACCCATCATTGTTACTGGTATTTGGCATATTGGGTACGCCACGGGGAGTTTGCCAGACTCTGCCGTGTGGGCAGGTTACATTTGGTAGCCTGCCAGTTTGTCCAAAGTAGGAATGAGATAAGATGTGTTGATGGGATTACACGGCGCCAGGGGGCCAGTTGGTGGGTGTGACCCCTGCCTACTGGAATTTGGAGGATCTGGATGGAGGATGCTCAGCCCCGATCTGAGCAGGCTTGGAGATCTCAGCCCCGGGACCCGCATGCCTTTGTTCCTCTGCCGGTACCTTCATGCGTGTGAAGAGTGGTCTCAGCATGATGGTGGCTGGTTCTGGAGGTCTTTGACTGCTGGACCCTGGTTGGGGCGGGGAGGAAAACTCAACCCGCTCCCCTCCAAGGGGCCCCGGCGAGGACAGCCAGGCGTGGGGGCAGGGGGTAGAATTATTTTAGAAAAAAATGAACACATGTTCAGAACAGAGGTAGATTTTTTAAAAATATTTTTTGGGACTTCTTCTTAGTCATACTAGACACTTCACAACTGTAACTGAGTCCTTGACTGGACTCTTTGATTCTTTGAGGTGCAAAAAATTATCAGTTGACTCTCAGCTAGCTTCCTTCCTACCCTCTTCCTCCTTCCTCTATCCCCCACCCCCCCCCACTCTCTCTCCTTTCTCATTTCCATTTTTTCTTTCAAGATTTCTATTGCCATTATATCCCCTGCCTAACAACTGTTCCATCATTATAATAGAATTCTAATTCTTGGCACTGCTATAGAAGATGAAAATCTTTAGTCCTTTACGCCCACAGCACTTCTAAATATTTTGATGTAGTTAGCACTATTGAAAAGTATCAAATTGACATGCTTAAAATTAGAATTTTTCCCATTTAGTCCTCAAATCACATAATGTATAGCTGTATTTAAGGTCAGGCTGACTTTCCAACCAGTTCATCTCCCCTACCTTTGTCATCTAACAGGTAACCACCTTCCTGAATGGTGAGATGTTCAGGCCATTATTATAGTTCTTCCGAGGATTGAGTACCTCTTACTGTAGACTTTTTAAATAATTTTAATTTTACATCAATAAGCACTAAAAACCAATAATTTAGCTCCTATTGTAGTGATGACACAAGCCTACACAAAATACTCACCATTAAGTCTTTTCTTTTTGGTTTGTTTTTATTTTGGGGTCACACCCAGCAGTGACCAGAGCTTATCATTCCTCATGGGGCTCAAAAGACCATTTGGGGTGCCCTGGATTGAACCAGGAGACAGTTGCACAAAGCATGCGCCTTCCTCGCTATATATTTATTGTCTTCAGCCCAAGGAATTTCTTTTTTGTTTTGGTTTTGGGGTCACAGCAGTGCCGGCTGAATTACCCCTGACTTTGAGCTCAGGGATCACTCCTCGTGGGCAGGGCTTGGGATAAAACATGGGGTTCCGGGGATTGGACTCAGGTTGGCTACATGCAAGGCAAACACCCAACCTACTATACTACCTCTCTGGCCCAGCCCGAGAAACTTCTTTTACAGTTGCCTCCTGAATATTTCTCTGTGATCCCTAATGTGGAGAGTGAGGCCTAAAAATGAAAACAAAAGCAATCTATCAAACCCAAAACAGAGGGTTTTTTTGTTTTTGTTTCGTTTTTGACAGATAGGAAGGGAGCTGGTACACATGGGCTGATTGGTTTTAGAGACAGAAATCAGGGACTGTTCCTAGCTCTGTGTTTAGTAGTGACCCCAGGTGATGCTTTTTGAGGGACCAAAAGAAAAAAAAGGTGTTTCTATTCCATTAGGCTATTTCCTCCTAGTATTTAGACCTCTAAATATATGTAATCTAAAAATTTAAACTAAGATGGTAAATCCTCAATAATCAGGTCTAGCTATCTCAGGAAGCTTGAATAATAATAGACCTGATTTTGAAGATGTTTGTACAGTATGTTGTTTGTAAAGGATGTGCATTTGGGGGCCAGTGTGATAGCACAGCAGGTGGAACATTTTTGCCTTGCATGCAGCTGACCCAGGTTCATTCCCCAGTATCCCATATGGTCCCCCTGAAAATTGCTAGGAGTGATTCCTGAGTGCAAAGCTGGGAGTAATCCCGGAGCATCACTGGGTGTGACCAAAAAGCCAAAAAAATATAAAAAATAATAAAGAATATGCATTTCACACTAATGAAAATATAAAAATACTTTTTCAAAGTTCCTGCTTCCAAGTTTTGCAATTGTTATGGTACATGAGTTTTATCAAGACTCTGCAGGGTTTGATGTGTAAGATGGCTAACCCAGGGGTCTGGCTGATTGATATTTGCTATTAATGGGGATTTCTGCTGGGCTGTTTGATATTTGCTATTACAGGGGATTTCTACTGGGCTGGTGGGAGTGGGACAGGTGTGTCTGCTAACTAGTCAGACTATAAGTGACTTCTCAAAGTTGTTTTTTTCTTCACGGTCTGCCGGGGTAGTTAGCATCTCACATGGCAGCTCAGGGCCCAGTTCAGGTAGACCAAGAAAGTAGGTGATACAGCATCACTTTTGTTGCACTCTTTGATGAACCAGCTACAAGCTTTTACAGATTCAGGAGGAAGAAAATACATTCTGTCTTTTACTGAGAAAAATATCAAAGAATTTGTAGCCTTTTAAATATAGCCATAGGAAACTAAAACTCAAATGTTTTAGTTTATTATTATCATTATTATTTGGTTTTTTGTTCCACATCCGGTGGTGCTCAGGGCTCACTCCTGCTGTTGCTTGGGAGGCCATTTGGGGTGCCAGGGATTGAATTCCAGTTATCTGCCAGCACCCTACCTGCTGTATTATCTCTCTAGCCCCTCATCACACTATTCTTAACCTAAGAAGCATTAAGAAAAGACTTCTTGGAGGAAGCAGGACTTTGAGTGTGACATGAATTTATCTAATTAGCTGTGAGCAATAATGGAAGATTTTAAGGACAAGATAATGGAAAAATGATTAGAGACAATCAAATGTATAATGTAAGTGATCATATTCCTTGTAAACCTACTCTGCATTTGTATTTAGTTGCTCAAGGCATAAACTAGGCATAAAAACTTTTATACTTTTTTTCTCTACTTTCTATATCATGTTAGCACCAAGTCTTCTCGTAATAGTTGTAAAATCTGTCTTTAACGCTCCATCTTTTCCCTAATATAGCCTTAACATTGTCATCTGGCCCAGTATTTGGCCAACAGCTGAATGTGACCTACCACCTTTTTTTTTCTTGTTTATGTTCACAGCCATTTTAAAATGATTGGAAAAATTAAAAAGAGAAGAATATCTTTTGTATTTTTAAATTATGTAAGGGGGCTGGAACAATAGCACAGCAGGTAGGGCATTTGCCTTACAAGTGGCCGACCCAGGTTTGATTCCCAGCATCGTATTGGTCCCCCAAGCACCACCAGGAGTAATTCCTGAGTGCACGAGCCAGGAGTAACCCCTGTGCATTGCCGGTGTGACCCAAAAAGCAAAAATTAAAATAAAATAAAATTATGTAAGGTCTGAAGAGATGACTCATACAAGGCTAGGCACATGCAGGAGGCTTGGGGTCAGTCCCCAGGATGGCCTAGTCTCCTGGGCACTGCTGGGAATGACCCCAGGGCCAGAAGTAGCCCCTGAGCACCACAAAGTGTGCTCCCCCCCCCCAGTAAATAAAATTATAAAAAATTCAAATTTCATTGTTAACAAATGAGCGTTCATTGGAATTTAGCCCATTCATTTATGTATTATTGTCTGTGTCTATTTTCCTACAAGGAAAGGATTGAGTGGTTGTCAGAGGTACTGGGTAACCGAAATACCACCATATTCCCTCTCTGGTTCTTTCCAGACAGTTTTTCTCCCCTATTCTAGACTTTGCTAGAGCTGCCACATTCGTATCTCTAGCCAGTGGTCTTGTGCTACTCCACATCAGTCTCCACCTCATAGCAGTGGAATGTATGATAGAGTCTCTCTCACTCAGAGATTTCAGTGCCTTCATGTTGCCTGAAGCACAAGAGAAGAGGACTGGAGATAGCTCAGGGGGCTGAGTTCATGCTTTGCATGTGGGAGGCCCTGGTTCTACCTATGGTTACACCATCCTTGGTATTGCCTTGGGAGTAGCCCATCACACCAAGTGTGCCCCAACACCAGCCCCTCCTTTTCCAAAATGATGACCTGTAGAAGCTTTAGAGTGGCATCCAGTACCTTCCTTGAGTAGATGTCTCGTTTATTTTCCAGCCAGCCTTATTTTTAGCTACATCCTTTCCTTAAATATGGCATTTGGTATTATGAACTGTCATGTACTACACATTCTATGAATCTTCATGCCTTCATTCATGAGATTCCTTCATCCTGGGACATGTTTTCTCCTTCAGATTCCTTCTTGTTCACTATTTACACGTTAGTTCCTGTCTTACCTCTTTGGGGAAGGCTTTCCTGAATCTCTGCATTCACCCCAAACACTATAAGCAAGAATTTCTGGGCAGGAAGCTGTTTTAACTATATTAGCAAAAGACTAGAACATTATGGCAAATGTTCTTATGGTGAATGCAGTTGGGGAAATGTTCTCAGGTAAATACAAAGGAAACTCTTAAAGAATAAATAATAGGTTTGGTTAATATAAACATAAAAAAAGTAAAGACAGAAGGATGGGAAAATACAGCCTTAGTAACATTTAGCA